TACTAGACTTTCAGAATTGTTCTTAATCTCTATCACTTGAGAGAAAAAGAATGGAAACAATATTGCAGCAAATGCCCACTGAACATGTGTTTTGCAAGTCTTTTATTGGTGGAGATGTTGGAAGAGAGGGTTCTGCTTTGCAATTCTGCCGTTCAACTCCTGTCCTTCCTCCCACACAGCAGGCATATAGTACTGTAGGCATTTCCATGACACTGCTTGTCAGGCTGAGGTTGAAGAATCATGACCTTGTTGCACAGACGGAGAAAAAAGATGGGCAGAGTTGTGTAGAAGGACTGCAGCTGAGGCATTAACTGAAATAATGTTTCACAGGGTCCTTTTGGTAGAGACCAAGGTTTCGCTGCTGTGTGTAGATGGGCTGGACGTTACCCTGAATTAATGGAGCTTTTGGTGTTATGATTCCCATTATTTTTTATTTCATGTGAGGGGTGATCTTTCATGTCTCTAAAGATCCTATGTTGGTCCCACTTGACACTCTCTGCTGAAGAGATGCATCCCAGCTACAATGCATCCATACAGGGATTCTCACAGAAGACTAATCATAGTTGGTCAAAGAGTTACTTGTTGAAAATTCTGTTAAACCACAGCCCAATCACTTCTGTGTCATTTGAGATTCTTCCCAGTCAAGACCCTCAGTTTCAGTTCAGGATCTTCACCTCATCGTGAGGGGGAGAGATTAAACTACTGAATACTATCTGTTGCAGCCTGAAGTAGCAAGGACTATGGGGGTAGAGGGAGGACATCCATCTCCACACTTGCACTGCAGTAGATGGCCTGTGCTTTCTCGAGGAAGGCTCTGTGAAGCAACAAGAAAATATCCTAGAGAGCACATTCCTTTCTACTTTCAGAGTAGGAGGCAGTCTGTTCTGTCCAGGTTTTTATATTGCCTTCATCAGGTAGTATCTGAGCATTTTCTGTGCTCAGGGTTTAATGCAAAGGAAAGTCCAGAGTAGCTGCTTGTACTGTCCTCTGGAGCTTGAAGCAGTGCTAGACACTTCACTTTCATTAGCACAGACATTCACTGCAAAAAATAAATAAAGTTATATTAAAGAATGTACCTAGTCCTGAAATGCAGAAAGAAAACTCATTTACTTCTCTGTCTTGTTAGGACAATAACTAAGAGTTTAAAGCAAGAGAGAGATTAAAGAATCTTAGCCAAAAAACACTCCCTTAGAAGGGGTAGTTTTGCCTGGATCTTTGTTTCTGTTTTGTTTTATTTTCTGTGTGAAAGTATTCATGCTGCTGTGCTCTCAGGCTAATTCTGAAGTGTATAGTCATTTATAATCATTACCCTAGCTCATTGATATTGTAATGGGGTTCAAGTATTCTCTACACCAGTGGTTCTCAAAGCCGGTCCGCTGCTTGTGCAGGGAAAGCCCCTGCCGGACCGGACCGTTTTGTTCACCTGCTGCGTCCGCAGGTTCGGCCGATCGTGGCTCCTACTGGCCGCGATTTGCCGCTCCAGGCCAATGGGGGCTGCGGGAAGGGCGGCCAGCACGTCCCTTGGCCTGCACCACTTCCCACAGCCCCCACTGGCCTGGAGCGGCGAACCGCGGCCAGTGGGAGCCGCGATCAGCCAAACCTGCCGTCGCGGCAGATAAACCGGTTAGGCCCAGCAGCGCCTTTCCCTGCACAAGCGGCGGACCGGCTTTGGGAACCACTGCTCTACACAGCTTACATGCTCCATAGTCTTTGTTCCTAGATAACTAATGATTCCTCCATCAGTTTTGTCATGTAATGTACTCTTATGTCAGCTTCCTCATTCAGAACCCGATCCAGTTCTACTTTCGATTCCTTTGGTCTGAGTTTAGTTTTCTTTCTTACTATTTTTTTACACCTGTATATAAAGGTGACCAGGGCCATAGTATCTCAATGCACTTTACGTGGTTTGTAGTAAGAGCAAATAGCATTTCCTGAATATAGGGACAGGTTCTGCAACATTTACTCATGTGAGTAGTGCCATTGACTATTGATTCAGAGGCCCATACGAAGTACATAGACTACATTTCTCTCCCTTCCCTGCTCCAGCACTTTAATTGTTTAAAAATAAGATGAAGAAATGTGGCCAATAGGCTAGGTGTCTGGTATTGCAGTACCCATGGCTAGTGGGAAAGCTGTACAGGTATATTTTTCAGTTCATTCTAAAAGTGATCAGGTTCAGACTTAGTCACAGAATTGGCCTCCGGCTCCTGCAAGAGTGTTCACCTTTGGGTCAGATAACTGAAGTATTCCAGATGAACAGAGGTGCACAAAAATGTATAGGCTATCTCTAATGTAACAAAGACCTGGGCCATTTAGGTCATAACCAGCATTTTGAATTTCACCCAGAAGACAGTGCAGAATGCAGCCATAGATGTAATCAGCTCATGGTGGTCCTTCTTATCCAGAAGGTGGGGAGCCTCATTTTGTACTAGCCAAGACTTCTAAGTAGCTTTCATGGTTGGGCCCTGATAGACTTTGTTGCAGTGAATCAGTCTCAAAGTATCCAAAGCATGGATAACTATGGCAAGGATTCAACCCTGTATGACTCTTCAGATGAGAGTCCTTGGGTAAGAGGAGCAGTCATCCAGCACCACCCTTTGGGATTGCACTAAGGGTATGTCTACACTACGAAATTAGGTCGAATTTATGGAAGTTGGTTTTCTAGAAAGCGTTTTTATACAGTTGATTGTGTTTGTCCCCACACAAATGCTCTAAGTGCATGTAGTCAGCGGAGTGTGTCCACAGTACCGAGGCAACCGTCGACTTCTGGAGTGTTGCACTGTGGGTGGCTATCCCACAGTTCCCGCAGTCTCCGCCGCCCACTTGAATTCTGGGTAGAAATCCCAGTGCCTGATGGGGCTAAAACATGGTCGCGGGTGGTTCTGGGTACATATTGTCAGGCCTCCTTTCCCTCCCTCCCTCCGTGAAAGCAAGGGCAAACAATCGTTTTGCACCTTTTTTCTTCAGTTACCTGTGCAGATGCCATACCACGGCAAGCATGGAGCCCGCTCAGCTAACCGTCACCGTATGTCTCCTGGGTGCTGGCAGACGTGGTACTGCATTGCTACACAGCAGCAGTTTATTGCCTTTTGGCAGCAGACAGTGCAATATGACTGGTAGCCGTCGTCAACGTAGTCCTGGCTGCTCTTTTAACCGGGCACCTGGGCAAACATGGGAGTGACTCAGGCAGGTCATTTCCCTTGTTTCGTCTCATAGCGATTGAGTCCTACCGGCAGTGCACTGTCTTTTAATCTCCAGCTAGCAGAAGACGATGACCAGTAGTCATAATGCACCATCTTCTGCCGAGCACCCAGGAGATGACGATGGCTAGCGGTCGTACTGCACAGTCTGCTGCCAGCAAGATGTATAAAGATAGATGAAGTAGCTCAAAACAAGAAATAGACCAGATTTGTTTTGTATTCATTTTCTCCTCCCTCCCTCCCTCTGTGAAATCAACGGCCTGCTAAATCCAGTTTTGAGTTCTATCCGTGAGGTTTTGAGTTCTATTCTTGAGGGAGCCATTCAGTTTCTCTCAAAGCCACCCCCTTTGTTGATTTTAATTCCCTGTAAGCCAACCCTGTAATCCATGTCGTCAGTCGCCCCTCCCACCATCAGGGCAAAGGCAGACAATAGTTCCGCGCCTTTTTTCTGTGCAGACGCCATACCACAGGAAGCATGGAGCCCGCTCAGATCACTTTGGCAATTAGGAGCACATTAAACACCACACGCATTATCCAGCAGTATATGCAGCACCAGAACCTGGCAAAGCGATACTGGGCGAGTAGGCAACGTGAGTGCGGTGATGTAAGTGATGAGGACATGGACACAGACTTCTCTCAAAGCACGGGCCCTGGCAATGTGGGCATCATGGTGCTAATGGGGCAGGTTCATGCAGTGGAACGCCGATTCTGGGCCCGGGAAACAAGCACAGACTGGTGGGACCACATAGTGTTGCAGGTCTGGGACGATTCCCAGTGGCTGCGAAACTTTCGCATGCGTAAGGGCGCTTTCATGGAACTTTGTGACTTGCTTTCCCCTGCCCTGAGGCGCAAGAATACCAAGATGAGAGCAGCCCTCAAAGTTGAGACGTGAGTGGCAATTGCCCTGTGGAAGCTTGCAACAGCAGACAGCTACCGGTCAGTCGGGAATCAATTTGGAGTGGGCAAATCTACTGTGGGGGCTGCTGTGATGCAAGTTGCCAACGCAATCAAAGATCTGCTGATATCAAGGGTAGTGACCCTGGGAAATGTGCAGGTCATAGTGGATGGCTTTGCTGCAATGGGATTCCCTAACTGTGGTGGGGCCGTAGACGGAACCCATATCCCTATCTTGGCACCGGAGCACCAAGCCACCGAGTACATAAACCGCAAGGGGTACTTTTCAATAGTGCTGCAAGCACTGGTGGATCACAAGGGACGTTTCACCAACATCAACGTGGGATGGCCGGGAAAGGTACATGATGTGCGCATCTTCAGGAACTCTGGTCTGTTTCAAAAGCTGCAGGAAGGGACTTTCTTCCCAGACCAGAAAATAACCGTTGGGGATGTTGAAATGCCTATAGTTATCCTTGGGGACCCAGCCTACCCCTTAATGCCATGGCTCATGAAGCCATACACAGGCAGCTTGGACAGTAGTCAGGAGCTGTTCAATTACAGGCTGAGCAAGTGCAGAATGGTGGTAGAATGTGCATTTGGACATTTAAAAGCGCGCTGGTGCAGTTTACTGACTCGGTTAGACCTCAGCAAAACCAATATTCCCACTGTTATTACTGCTTGCTGTGTGTTCCACAATCTCTGTGAGAGTAAGGGGGAGACATTTATGACTGGGTGGGAGGTTAAGGCATATCGCCTGGCTGCTGGTTACGCACAGCCAGACACCAGGGCAGTTAGAAGAGCACAGGAGGGCACAGTGCGCATCAGAGAAGCTTTGAAAACCAGTTTCATGACTGGACAGGCTACGGTGTGAAAGTTCTGTTTGTTTCTCTTTGATGAAACCCCCTCCCCTTGGTTCACTCTACTTCCCTGTAAGCTAACCACCCTCCCCTCCTCCCTTCGATCACCGCTTGCAGAGGCAATAAAGTCATTGTTGCTTCACATTCATACATTCTTTATTCATTCATCACACAAATAGGGGGATAACTACCAAAGTAGCCCCGGAGGGGTGGTGGAGGAGAAAAGCACCGGGGGGGTGGTAGAGGAGGGAAGGACAAGGCCACACAGCACTTCAAAAGTTTAAAACTTTAAAACTTATTGAATGCCAGCCTTCTGTTGCTTGGGCAATCCTCTGGGGTGGAGTGGCTGGGTGGCCGGAGGCCCCCCCCACTGTGTTCTTGGGTGTCCGGGTGAGGAGGCTATGGAACTTGGGGAGGAGGGCGGTTGGTTACACAGGGGCTGTAGCGGCGGTCTGTGCTCTTGCTGTCTTTCCTGCAGCTGAACCATACGCTGTAGCATATCGGTTTGATCCTGCAGCAGCCTCAGCATTGAATCCTGCCTCCTCTCATCATGCTGCCACCACCTTTCAGCTTCAGCCCTCTCTTCAGCCCGCCACTTACTCTCTTCAGCCTGCCACCTCTCCTCCCAGTCATTTTGTGCTTTCCTGCACTCTGACATTGTCTGCCTCCATGCATTCATCTGTGCTCTGTCAGTGTGGGAGGACAGCATGAGCTCAGAGAACATTTAATCACAAGTGCATTTTTTTCGCCTTCTAATCTTCGCTAGCCTCTGGGAAGGAGAAGATCCTGTGATCCTTGAAACACATGCAGCTGGTGGAGAGAAATAAAGGGACAGTGGTATTTAAAAAGACACATTTAATAGTACAATGGGTACACTCTTTCACGGTAAACCTTGCTGTTTACATTACATACATAGCACATGTGCTTTCTTTACAAGGTCGCATTTTGCCTCCCCCCAGCGCGTGGCTAGCCCCTCCTTCCTTCCCCCTCCCCGTGGCTAACAGCGGGGAACATTTCTGTTCAGCCACAGGCAAACAGCCCAGCAGGAACGGGCACCTCTGAGTGTCCCCTTAAGAAAAGCACCCTATTTCAACCAGGTGACCATGAATGATATTACTCTCCTGAGGAAAACACAGAGAGATAAAGAACGGATCTTGTTTGAACGCCAGCAAACATACACTGCAATGCTTTGTTCTACAATGATTCCTGAGTACGTGCTACTGGCCTGGAGTGGTAAAGTGTCCTACCATGGCGGATGGAATAAGGGTGCCCTCCCCAGAAACCTTTTGCAAAGGCTTTGGGAGTATATCCAGGAGAGCCACGAATGCCAGGGCAAATTAATCATAAAACATGCTTGCTTTTAAACCATGTATAGTATTTTAAAAGGTATACTCACCAGAGGTCCCTTCTCCGCCTGGTGGGTCCGGGAGGCAGCCTTGGGTGGATTCGGGGGGTACTGGCTCCAGGTCCAGGGTGAGAAACAGTTCCTGGCTGTCGGGAAAAATGGTTTCTCCGCTTGCTTGCTGTGAGCTATCTACAACCTCATCATCATCATCTTCCTCGTCCCCAAAACCTGCTTCCATGTTGCCTCCATCTCCATTGAAGGAGTCAAACAACATGGCTGGGGTAGTGGTGGCTGAACCCCCTAAAATGGCATGCAGCTCATCATAGAAGTGGCATGTTTGGGGCTCGGACCAGGAGCGGCCGTTCGCCTCTTTGGTTTTCTGGTAGGCTTGCCTCAGTTCCTTAAGTTTCACTCTGTACTGCTTCGGGTCCCTGTTATGGCCTCTGTCCTTCATGCCCTGGGAGATTTTGACAAATGTTTTGGCATTTCGAAAACTGGAACAGAGTTCTGATAGCACGGATTCCTCTCCCCATACAGCGATCAGATCCCATACCTCTCGTTTGGTCCATGCTGGAGCTCTTTTGCGATTCTGGGACTCCATCATGGTCACCTCTGCTGATGAGCTCTGCACTCACCTGCAGCTTGCCATGCTGGCCAAACAGGAAATTGAAATTCAAAAGTTTGCGGGCCTTTTCCTGTCTACCTGGCCAATGCATCTGAGTTGAGAGTCCTGTCCAGAGCGGTCACAATGGAGCACTGTGGGATAGCTCCTGGAGGCCAATACCGTCTAATTGCGTCCACAGTACCCCAAATTCGACCCAGCAAGGCCGATTTCAGCGCTAATCCCCTTGTTGGGGGTGGAGTAAGGAAATAGATTTTAAGAGCCCTTTAAGTAGAAAAAAAGGGCTTCATCATGTGGACGGGTGCAGGGTTAAATCGATTTAATGCTGCTAAATTCGACCTCAACTCCTAGTGGAGACCAGGGCTGAGAGAAATGTGTGGAACCACACTGAAGGTGAATCACTGCACTTAATTCTGTTTACATGCCATACTCAGGTCTAAAACAGGTGTGGGTGGGATCCAAGGAGTTTGAGGATATTGGATGCTGTTGGAGTTGGTCTGCCACAGCCTTTTTGTTGTCAATTCCTGGAAAAGGCAGGGTAGAGACCAGCTGTTAGTCATTGAACACTTTAGGTTGAGATTTTCAAAGCAATCTGCAAGATCTGAGTAAATAATTCTAATTAAAGATGTTTGGCCAATACTCCAATTTTATGGTGAATTAAAAGAATACGCTTCTAGTCAACACCATATTTGCAGAAGAAGTAGGGAGTGATTTTACCTCTGTATACAGCACTGATGAGACTGTAACTGGAATACTGTGTACAGTTCTGGTGCCCACATTTTAAAAAGGATGTTGAAAAGTTGCAGAAGGTGCAGAAAAGAGCCACAAAAATAATTTGTTGGCTGGAAAAGATGCCTTACAGTGACAGGCTTAAAGAGCTTAATCTCTTTAGTTTATCAAAAAGAAGATTAAGAGGTGACCTCATTACAGGGTATAAATACCTTCATGGGAGAAAATATTCAGTAATAATGAGCTCTTTAGTCTAGTGGAGAAAGACAGAACAAGAACAAATGGCTGGAAGCCAGAGAAATTCAAATGAGAAATTAGGCACAAATTTTTAACAGTGAAGGTGATTAGCCATTGGAACAAACTACCGGGGGAAGTGGTGGATTCTCCAGCTCTTGATGTCTTCTATTCAAGATTGGATGCATTCTGGAAGACATGCTTTAGCTAAACTCACATTATACTTTAGTCAAACACAAGATATCTGCCACAATATGGGCTAAATGGGTGAAATTTAATGGCCTGTGATATACTAGAGATCAGACTGGATAATCTAATGGCCCCTTCTAGCCTTAACTCTATGAATCTGTGCATGAAGTAGACTAAGATTATATTTCGGTAGTCTGTGATTTTTCAGAAATGATAAAATAGTAATTATTATTTTTTATTTTATTAGTGATAATGTCCACTGTGTGTTAGGCACATTCTAATAAGCACTTAAGGAGGATGTTCCTTTCTCTGAGGTGCTCACAGGCTTAAGACAAACAAGCAGACAGAGGTCAGGGGAAGAGGAATAACAATAAGCAATTTAGATACAAGTTAACTTGAATCACTATATGCAGAACAGCAGAAGTGAATAATTAAGAGGAACTTAAATATGGATAGCATAGGGGCCTTGCAGATGAGCCCAGAGAGGTCATACCATCGATAGGTACATAGAAGAAGGTATGGAGGTGACTGAATGAGACTCTGACAGATGAAATGTGTTTAAAATATTGGATCCTATCATGCAATTTTCAGTGTAGATGACATACTTCACTCCAGATCTTCTGACTGTTGGACTGGCAAAACCACGTCACTGGAAAATTAGGATACTTGGATAGTTTGGATGTGTTGCTTATCCATTGGTGGAAAATGTTCATTTAACTTGAGGGGTCATTTCCAGCAAGCTCAGCATATGGGAGAAAGATGAAGAGCACCCTGTGTGTAGGAGCTGCCTTCAAAGAGCTGCCTTCACATTCATATCCTGGCTTGAACTGATGTTTACCTAAGAATAAACAGGCGTCTATTATTATTGGCGTATTCCTGGCAATTATTCTGAAACAAGGATTAAACAAACCCCAGAAAACTGTAAACAAATAACATTAAAGTTCTGATGCAAAATCCTAGCAAAGCCAGAAAACTGCACCGTGTCCGTGACTAGTACTCTCAGGCAGCAGTCTTATATTATTTGTGCTGCAGATTGTGATGCAACACCTAGACACAACAGGGTGAGCCAGGATGATGCGAAGGCTCTACCTTTAACTTGCAGTTTCCTGGCTTTTGTGAACTTTAACTCACACTCATCCTTCATGTTAGAAAGGAAGATGTTGTTCTGTCTAATGTGCCCTTTAAAGACCCTTGAAGTGCGTGTTTGCTCTCTAGGTCAAAGGCAATATCCCAGACTAGTGGGTTAAGTTTTCAGGCGTTGTATCACACAGGTGCTCATAATGACTGTTAGGCTCTTGCACCCAGCCCGCTTGTTACTATGGAGATCTTTGAACTACTTCTCAGGCCTGGTCTATACTACAAACTTAGGTCAATGAAAGATGCCTTACGTCAACCTAATAATGTATGCGTCTACACTACCAGATCCCTTCTGCCAACCTAACTCGCCTGTAATGTCGACTTAATTACTCCACCTCCACAAAAGGCATAGCACTTAATTCAGTGTTGATTGGTTGATAGAGAGGCAGTGTAAATGCAGCGTTGTGTAAATCTACTGAATTAGCCTCCAGGAGGAGTCTCACAATTCTCTGCTGTGACCACTCTGGAGATGGTTTTCAACTCTGCTGCACAGCAGCCAAGTACACAGGAAACAGCCTCTCCCCTGTTAAAGCCCTGGGAACTTTTGGATTGCCATTTCCGGTTTGATCAGCATGGAGAGCTCGCCATCCCAGCTGATCATGGCAACTCAGTGCCCCAAAGGTGGTCCAGCCTGGAGTACACAGCGGGTGGTGGAACTTATTGGTCTGTGTGGAGAAGAGTCTGTGCAGGCATAGCTCTGATCCAGCCAAAGAAACGTAGACATCGATTAAAAGATTGCACGGTGCATGGGGGAGAAGGGCTACAGCAGGTATATGCAGTAGTGCTGCGTGAAAATCAAAGAACTTCGGTAGGCATAACAGAAGACAAGGGAGGCGAACAGTTGTTCTGGTTCTGCACCACAGACATTTTGCTTCTACAATGAGCTGTATGCATTTCTCGGTGGCTACCCCACCATTACCCCCAAATGCAGCGTGGATACCTCCCAGGAGTTTGAGTCCTGGGCCACCTCAAGCAACAATGAGGAGGACATTCTGGATGAGAAAGAGGAGGCGGAGGAGAGTGGGAGACAAGTGAGCAGTGGATTCATTCTCCCTGAGAGCCAGGAACTATTTTTAATCCTGGAGCCGAGCCGGTTGCAGGACAGCATGGTGGCCGAGTGTGATGCCTGGGAAGGCACCTCTGGTGAGTATGCAATTCCGATCAAACTGTAGGGGTTACGTGCTCTTATATTTGATGTTTAATTTGAAGGAAAAGTGAGGTGCAGGGGGTATCTGCTTCCTAATGGCAGTTCCAGCTACGCAGAGGGTGTCCCATGGTAAAGACTGTTTATGTGCACAGGGATGGCCCGGGAATTCTCCATGGCGATCTCTAGGAAACTTTCATGGAGATACTCTGCAATTCTTGCAGAAGGTGTCTGCGGAGGGCTCTCTTATTTATTCCACCACAATAGGACACTTTCCCATGCCACTCCAGTATTAACTCTGCTGGCCTCATTGCGGTACACATAAGGACCCGGTCTGTACCCAGACACTTGCAGCATCTGCTCCCTTGCCACCTCTGTTACCCTCAGGAGACTGATATCACATAGGATCACCTAGGGAGACAGTGGAAGTTTTCATTACAAGTGCTCATACTGCAAACAATAGAGCATGTGATCCACCATACATGGTGACTTCCAGGTCCCTCAACCACGCTGTCCCTAACATGCCTGTGGTTTGGTTGGCAAGGATTGGCGTTGACCTCAGATTCAGGGCAACTATTATCAGCAGCATCAAGGGGGGGCGTCTTGTGTTATTTTGTGGCCTCATACCATCTCCCCTTCCCCCCAGAGCTAATTTGGGAGACTTAACGCTGCTCCCTGGTCTCAAAGCAACATCCATGTTGCCAAGGGGAGGGGGAATTGTCTTCCTGCCCATATGTGCGCCCGACATGAGTTTCCCACAAGTTGCAGCACAAGGCCCGTCGCCCATGCCACTGGATCATACTCACCATGGCTGGAACAGCAAACTGTTTTGTTGAATAGCTAGGGATTCTGAATATGTTCTGTCTTGCACTTGAGTGAAATAAGGGGAGTGTTTTTTAAATAGCAACCAGGGTATTCACTGACAATGGTTGCCTCGTGCTTTGCATGCCTTACAGTGGAGAGCTTGGCCTTCAGCACATCCTCCACAGTGGCAGAGAGGCTTTCGCAGATTAGAAGGTGGAAAAAAAGAATGTGATACGACATGTTCAGCGAGATAATGAACACCTCTGGTACAGCTGACATGGAGCAAAGACCCTGGAGGATTTCATTGTCTGAAAAAGTGGACATGGACATGGAGAGCAGGAGAGCATCCCAGGAGCATGAGCATGCCACGCAGGATGAGATGCTGCGGATTATGAAGGACCAGTCAGACATGTTGAGGCATCTGGTTGAGCTGCAAGAAAAGCAGCTTGAGGCTAGATTCCCTCTGCAGTCCCTGCAGGATTGCCTGCAAACATCGCCCTATTCCCAATCTCCCTCCCCTCAAATGTTCCAGGAGGCAGGTGTTGCGGTGGCGGAGTTCAGTATCCCTTCCACTCAACACCGGGAGTGGGTACTGAGAACAAAAGGTGGCCATTTGGAAACCTTTGATGGGTAAGACTTCTGTGCTTTCACAGACAAGCTGACTTGGTTTCCCCCCTCCCAATTTTATCACACTGTTTGCACAAGGTTAAATTATTTTCCTGTTCTTTCAGTTTCTTTATGTTTGTTCAATAAAAGTCAATGTTTCGAGAATTTAATCCAATCATGAGGACTTTGGGGGGGGCGGTTATTCAGGGAAATTAATGCAACCGAGAGGATGGTATAGAAAGGCACAATGCAGATAACCAGCACACATTGCTGATGCTCATTACTGAAATGGGTTTTCAAAGCCTCCCAGAGACGCAGAGTTCCTTGCTGGGCTCTTCTTATTGCCCTGGTATCTGGCTGCTCAGAATTAGCTGACAACCTATCCGTCTCCATGCCCCACCCCCGCGGAAACTTGTCTCCCTTTGCCTTACAGATATTATGGGACACACAGTATCCAGCGATAACAATGGGGATATTGCTTTCACTGAGGTCTAACCTAGTAAGCAAACTGTTCCAGTGACCCTTTAAATGTCCAAAGGCACACTCCACCACCATTTTGCACTTGCTCAGCCTATTGTTGAACCACTCCTTACTGCTGTTGGGTGGCCAGTGTACAGCTTCATGAGCCATGGGAGCAAGGGGTAGGCTGGGTCTCCCAGGGTCACTATTGGCATTTCAACATCTTCAATGGTTATTTTGCGATCTGGAAAGAAAGTCCCTGCTTGCAGTTCTCTGAACAGACCTGTGTTCCTACAGACGTGCATGCACATCATGCATCTTTCCTGACCATCCCACGTTGATGTTGGTGAAACACTCCCTGTGATCCACCAGTTACAATACCATTGAAAATTATCCCTGATGGTTTATGTAGTCTTTGGGTAGGTGGTCTGGTGCCAAGATAGAGATATACATGCCATCTATTTCCTCCCCTCCCCTCCACAGATAGGGAACCCATTGTGGCAAAATCATCCACTATATCCTGCACATTGCCCAGAGTCAGTGCCCTTCTTAGCAGAAGTCAATTAATGGCCCTCAACACTTGGATCACAACAGCTCCCACAGTGGATTTACCAACTCCAAATTGATTCCTCACTGACCAGTAGCAGTCTGGCATTGCAAGCTTCCACAGAGCAATTGCCACTCACTTCTCCACTGTCAGAGTAGGTCTCTTTTTAATATTGCTGTGCTTCAGGGCCGGAGAAAGCTCTGCATAAAGTTTCTGGAAAGTGACCTTCTGCATTCGAAAATTCTGCAGCTAGTGCTTGTCATCCCACAGCTGCATAGTGGTGCGATCCCACTAGTCAGTGCTTGTTTCCTGGGACCAAAAACAGTGCTCCACCGTGTTCAGCTGCTGCGCGACTGCCAGCAGCAACTTGGAATTGTTTTGTTCTGTGGCTTGCAGCAGGGCTGCTTGCATGACATCACGAAGTTCTGCGCAGAGACTCCTTTCTCAGCTCTGGAAATACTGCAGAAGAGTGTTGGACTGCTAATGTTTTTCCATCAACCATAACTCAATGTAGCCAGAGTTGGGGATCTCTTTGACTCCCCCTTTTTCAATTTTCCTTCTCA